GCAGGGGAATGGGTGGGGATCCCATTTCCGAATCAAAATATTTGGGGGGGTTGATTTTTTTTCCACTGAAAACTCTAAATGTTCTAGTTCTCAGTCACACACCCATGCGGCAGGGTTCACACTGCTATCACCCGGTGAGCTGCCGCTGTGGGTCAGCGTGGAGGGGGACGCCATGGGGCAGGGCGGCCGGGGGTTGGGAAAGGCTGAAGGCACCTCCTGCCAGCCGCCAGGAAAGCAGCGCGGCAGAGCTGTGTTAAGGCTGAGAGTGGCAGCAGGCAGGCACACAAACACATGCATGGAGGGAACCACATGCACGCATACAAACACACACACGGATGCACGGAACCACATAAACACAGACATCATGCATCCACCACACACACAGGGGGGCACCTCCCCCAAAGACAGTACCCAGTCGCGTTTATTGCTCCGCCAAGCCCATGCTTTCTGGGCTGCTGATGTTTGGGGAGGTGGGCCTGGCTCCCCTCCTGGCCTGGGCTCTCCCCTAGAGGCAGCTCGGTGGGGACATTTTGGAGCCGGGCCTGGGATCACTCTTGTGACAATCTGACTGGCCCACCTGTGAGCTGGTCCCAGAGACAGCCCTGGTGCGAGGGGAACCGCCCTACCTGTGCCCCCGTGTGGCTGTCTGGAGGGGGGACACTGGGATATCAGCTCCCCACATCACCCTCTGCACTAACACTTGGAGAGAGGTGTGGCTGGATTCTCAGCCCTAGGGGCTAAACCCTCCATCGACCCCTCTAACAGGGACAGCGTGGACTAGCCCCCCGGCAGCCCTGCTCCTTACCTGGGCCATCGGCACAGGGGAGAGGGGGGAGCAGCTCTGCTCATGCAGTGCAGGGGGGGCTGATGAATAGACACTGTCCATACAGGGGTTTGCTCCCTTGTCACTGTGACAGGCGGGGGAGGGGGTGAGATCTGGGATCTACATGAGGGGAGAGGGGGAGATCTGCCCCAGGGGGCACAGACTCCACCGTGGCTGCCCCCTGGCTTTGCCCCAGGAATGCTGAGCACGCTGCCCCAGGCACTAGCCACCCGGTTTGCTAGGAGGACACAACCGACCAGGTGCTGATCTCCAGACATCTCCGTCAGGCTCCCCGTCGCTCCTTGGGAAGGGACAGTCCACACCCACCTCTGACAGCCAGGGGTGCCCATCACAGAAGGGTTCCTGCAGCATCCAGGGGTCAGAGACCGGACCCTGGGCCTGGGCTGACCCTGGCTCGGACCCAGGCTGGCAAGCCCTGTGGTCCAGTCTCCAGCCTGTCGCCCATGGCTGGGTACCCCCGGTAGCGCTGCCCGGCCTGGGGCCAGGGGAAGGGGCGGCAGCTCCCAAGGCGTTTTGGGAAGCCCAGCACAGCAAGGGGCACTGGCTGCTCTGCTCTCCCGCTCCCCCTCTCCCCAGGGGCACCCAGCACAAGCCAGTCAGCGGGAATCCCACATCCGGAGCTGCACGTCGCAGCCAGCCCAGCCCCTCTGCTGGCCCTGCCAGCGCATCCCTCCAGGCCCAGTTCCCCCTGCCCAGCCCCTGGATGCCAGTCACACCTGTGCAGAGTGGATGTAGGAAATGGGGTCTTGAGGGGGCTGGGCAGGGCCCAGGCAGAATTGGACCTAAGGAGGGTAGGTAGGACAGGAAGTATCGGGCCCCAACGTAGCCAGGCAGATTTGGGCCCAAGGGGGCGGGGTAGGGCAGGATCGGGCCTTCTGTGCCCAGGTTGCTCTCAGAACACTTACCTTCTTCCACCTCTGTGGGGGCCTTGGCCGCCTTGTCCTTCCCTGCTGGCTTCAGCCTCCCTTGCGGCTCGGGGGGCTCCTCCAGCCCCTGCCCCCCGGCTTCCTCCTCGCCCTCGGGGCTGACCTCCCGCAGGAAGCCCTGCAGGAACTCCTCGATCTCATCGTCCGTCAGCTCCGGCGGGGGCTGCCCCGGGCTGGGGGTCAGCAGCCCCACCAGCAGGCAGAGCGGCAGCAGGCGACAGGCTCCGGCAAGCCCCATGGAAGCCTCGCGCACCCCGGGGGGGCTAGGGCAGAGTTAGAGACCCACTGCCCCGGCGGGCACAGACCCTGGCCTCACCTGGCTGGCTGGCCGTGTGGGGACAGGACCCGGTGGGGGGCTGTTTGTCGCTCTCGCTTCCTTCGGGGTCACCGGGCTCCGCAGCAGGCAGATGCGGCGCAGCTGTCAGGACAGGGCAGCTCCGGGGCTTCCGGAGCGGGCGGTGGAATGCGCTGCTGACGGGGGGCGGAGGGGGGAGCCGGAGCCAGCCCCAAAGAATGCAGCTCCGCACAGCTGGGCTTAATTCAGACCAGAAGGTTGTGGCTGCGTCAGCTTTGAAGTCAGAGGCAGCAGGCCAAGGGCTGGGAGCCAGCAGGCCCCCACGACGCCCTGGAGAGGTTGCCCCCCCACACACATCCAAAACTGGGGGGTCCAGGCTGGGCTGAACGGACCGGTCCAATACGCCCAGTGATCGCTGCAGCCAGCAAACGGCGCCCGAGAGCTCAGAGATTCCTCACTATCGCCCTGCTGCCCCCACCAGGGTCTCCAGCTCCCCCCATGCAGAGGGGGCTTCGGCAACGCAGTTCCCTTTGCTGCGCCTGGTCGCCCGCCGGGTCTCCAATCTGCAGGGTGTGGGGGGTTGATCCAGTCCCGGAGCGCGGCAGCAGCAGCAGCAGCAGGCGCCTTCCCCTCTCCCCTACAGCTGTCAGAGTGGAAGCCTGACAGCTGGAGGAATCGTCTAGCTCTGCGGAGGAAACCAAGGCCAGCCTCCCCTTCCCATTTCCAGAGAAGAGTGGATCAGAGAGGGCAGCGCTGTTCACTGTAACCCCATCCTGCCTGGGAAAGCAGAGATGCTGCCCAAGGCAGCCAGCACCGGCTCACGCACCACAGGACCAGTAGAGACTTCCAGCGGTGTTGGAGATCCATTCACAGCCAGCACTGGGATCGGCCTCTGGGACGCCCCCTCTACGGCACCCGTTCAGCACGCCGCCCCGATGGCAGAGTGCACACGCCGAGGTGCTGGGGATGCCGGCCCACTGCTGAATGCAGGAGTCCCTGGGAAGATCTGATCCAAACCACGCAGGAGCCAGATGGCTCCAGATCCCTGCAGAAGAAGGAGCGGGCTCTCCCCAAATATACCGAGCAGAGGTGGGATTGGGGGCCCAAAGCCCAGGCAGGCACCCGGGGGGCATGACTGTACAAACAGCAGAGTCACCTTCCTCTCCCAGAACTCTGTTGGTTCTGCAGCTGGACCCCTGGATCTAGTGACCCGCCCCCCCTGGATTTTGTGGCCCACCGGTTTCCATGCCAGGTCCACTGGACTCGGTGGCCAGGCCCCCCGCTGAACTCAGCAGCCTCTGGTGCAGCAGATGGGAAATTCTGTGCCTTAATGACGATGGAAGGAGTCCCCTAGCCCTCTGCGCAGCAGGATAGCCAGCTCCGTTTGCCAGGCGCTCTTTCCACGTTTGCCGTAAGCTGCTGGACGCTGCGTGATTGCACCATGGGAACTGCCAGGGAGAGCCTGCAGCGCATGGCAGCTGGGGAGGGACAGCAGGGGGCTGGCACCTATGAAGGCATCAGGAGATTGTGGGAGAAGACACTAGCTGGCTCCTTCTGCTAAAGCAATCAACAGTTCAGAGCCCGCCCTCATGGCACCCTTTGATCCCCAAATGTGGTAGAGCTCCTTACTTCTCTCTCCTCAAAGACTTGGTGATGCACCTTAGGACATAAAGTAAATGTGCACGTGTGTCATCAGTAGGGTTCAGAGTTAACATACTCTAGCATCTCTGCCAGGTCACACAGGGCAGGTTTTCATCGAGTAGCAGTCACACACCAACGGGGAGATCCTGGGAACCAAATCTGCACCCAGAGGAGAATTCTGCCGCACATTCCCCGACGGTGGACTCTGCTGGGCCTCAGTTCTCAGCCAGGCCTTCCCTATGCTGAGCGCAGGACGGAAGGACATGGCACAGCCAGCTTTAAGCTCCCTTTGCATTCAGGTCCTGCCCAGCCTCCTGTGTCAGCTACACTGGCCCCGCCATGCTCCTCGTGGCCCCTAGGAAACAGAGAAGAATTTCAGTGTGGTGTGCCCTGGTCACGACCCCTCATTTTCCCTGCCCACAGTGTGCCCCAAACCAGGGGCTGGCTGCCAGGCTGCTCCAGCAGCCACCCTTCGATGGGGGGGTCTGCAGACGGTGCTCCCCAGAGCTCCTTGGCAATCAGGTATCTACCCCCGCCAGGTGCTCTGGGATCACTCACAGGGCTCCCTGGGCACTGGGAGGAGTCTGTCCTGCCTCACCCCTTAACACACCCCCAGAACCCTTCCCCGGGGATGTCCTAATCCCTGGCTGGAGACCAGAGCTGGCAACGTCTGCTGTCAATGGCCGCAGCAGAGCCATGGGAGTTGCCCCCAGACGCCTCCCATAGCCACAGAGTTGCTGGCGCCAGGGTGTCACTGATACCGTGGACCCCTCCTGCTCCAGATGCCCATCCCCAGTTCCAAATGTCCCAGCCTTTGGGAGACATGGATCTGTACCCAGGCCAAGCGACAAACCTCACTCTTGTCCCAGCTGCCAGCAGCTGGCACCCACCCACTGTCCCCCTGGAGTTTCCCTATGGTAAGATTGTTCCCTGGCGCTGGGTAGCCCTTCCCAGACCCACTCTGTATGGCGCCAATACTGGGCCCACCTCTCCCTCCACCTTGTGCACTCCAGCAGTGCTCGGGAATGAGCCTCTGGCGCCCACAGCCGCTGGGATAAGGGGATGTCTCGCTTCCAAGGTGGCTGGACTTGGCCTGGCCCGGCTCCCCACTGCAGGCATCTGGGCCTCTTTCCACAGACCCTAATGGGAGTTGGTTGGGCGCCATTATTCAGAGGTCGGCGGAACCCAGCCCGTCTCCTCCGAGGCAGAATCAGCGACAGGGCTGTGATTCCAAACCCGCCCGCGTCTGCACAGACAGCCCGTCACTGGGCAGCGTGGTCACCGCGCAGCACCGCAGGGTGCCAGTCTACGCACACAAACATCACTAGTGGCCTGGCGGGCTAGCGACCAGGGGGAATGGAATGAAACCAGCCAGCCGGAGTGAGCTCCTGCCCTCAGCACTCTGCTCACGGCCCCTCCGGGACAGGCCTGGCCTCTTTCAGCGGATCATTCGACAGGCAAGGGAAGGGACCCTGTCCATTGCTACCAGGTAATTGGCCATCCAGGGCCTATTGCCACAGAATAGGCTTTGTGACCTGTGATGTCTAATACCTTGGAAGCTTTCCCCAGTGGTGCAGCGATCCTCTGGGCCAAGGGGCACTGGAGGGAGACGCTTGGCTCGCAGCAATGATGGGATCTGGGGTCAAGTACCGGGCTGTCGGCCCATCATCAGTGGGAGAAGCTGGAAGCCAGAGAGATTCCACTGGCAGCAGCAGGATCTCAGACCCCTTGATCAGCCTGGTCAACACCAACCTAACAGAGTCCCAGATGCTAGGGGAGAGGAGGCAACGTGTTCTCCAGAGGAGAGCGTGATCTGGGCTGCTCTGTCACATGTTCGCAGGCCAGCCCTGGGAGGCAGCGAGGCGTTGGCGGGGTCACACGGGGAACCCAGCCCAAGAACCCAGTGCCTTTTCTCTCCCCACGGAAAATGGGGGAAAGTCCCATGGACAGAATGAGTCCCCCCAGGCCTGTATCTGAGGCCCCAGGTGAGGAGGCAGCCCGGGATGTAAGGGCAGATGGAGGGATCCAGAACCCCCAGATGACCCATCTCTGAGGCCAGCCCTGGAGGCTGTCCCATTGGAGCCATGACAGGAGAAACCAGCAGCTCCTGGGCTAAAGAAACCGGAATAGGGGTTCCGGAGCAGGCTCCTGGCAAACTGCGGGAGTCCTAGGGGCCAGGCAGAGTTCTCAGTGACTACGGGATCGGAGGAGGCGTCTGGCTCCTAGGAAGCTGCAAGTCCCGAATACTTTGGCTCTGAAGGCCCATTTGGCCAAGGCCTCTCTGTGTCGCGGCTGCCTGTGAGTCTGAGTCTCTGGAGGGTTGTGGGATCCGACACAGCTTTGGATCTGAGGGCACATCCCTCGGTTGGGCCGATCTGGACTCGAGGGCATGCCAGAGAAGCAGCTGTTCCTCACACGGCGTGAACGAGAGGCCATTGATGGCTGCGGTTGGTCGGTGTGCCAAGGAATCCATGTTTCCCAGGGCAATCCCCCATCCATCACAGGCTCACGAGTGCCTAGAACAGGGGAGGGGAGCGGGTGACGGCACAAGTGTGTTTCCTGTTTACCACTTACTGACCCTATCCGGGGAAGCAAACCAAGCGAGAGGCCAAGGGCTGAAGATAGGAATCCTCTGCTAGCTAGGGTGGTTATTACTGTCATTGGGCTGCAGAGTCTAATGATGAATGGGTGGAAGCTGGAAGCAGATGGGCCATTTCAGCGCCAATACAGCTCCTCCCCTCGCCCCCCTGCAAGAGCCCTGAGCTCCTTATGGGGTTCATTATTTAGCCTTGTTGTCAGGAGAGTGAGTTAGCCAGAAAGAACAAAAATGAGGCACAAATGTTTAACAGGGAGGGGCGAAGAACCGCCAGAACACTCGCTCCCGGACGGGGGGGCGGGGGTGAGGGGCGGCTTTCCAGTGCCTGGGCACTTTCAATAAGTGGGGGCTCTTTCTAGTAGCTCAACCACAAGCTATGGGCTGTATGCAGGAATCCCTTGGGACAGTTCTTTGGCCTGGGTGATACAGGCGGGCAGATGAGCAGCATGGCCTCCTCTGGCCGCCGATTGTCTAATTCTCACCCAGACAGCAAACCAGTGACCTGCCTAGGGTGACCAGATGTCCCGATTTTATAGGGACAGTCCCAATTTTTGAATCTTTTTCTTATATAGGATCCTATTACCCCACACCCCCGTCCCGATTTTTCACACTTGCTGTCTGGTCACCCTAGACCTGCCCGTCCTGGGGAGACGGGTAGCAGCCTCTCCCCTGGGAAAGCCCAGAACCTCTGCTACACCCGTTCCAGCCTCATCACAGCACACGCTGCTCTCCCCCCTCTCGGATCTCTTCACTGGCTGAGCCACCCCCACTCTTCCAGGCTCTGCCCACCCTGTGGCAGGGTCCAGTCCCCCAAGGTGCGGCAGATGGGCGGGCTGCTCTATTTGGAAAAGGCGTTTCTCACAGGTCAATACGAACAAGCCAGAGGAGTTGCCAAGCCCATGACAGCCTCTTCTCACAGAGGAAGGGGGGCGCAGTGGGTTGGGGACCGATCTAGGACTGAGGAGACCTGGGGTCCAGTCCCTGCTCTGCCACAGCTGCCTGTGACACCTTGGGCAAGTCACTTAGCCTCTCTATGCCTCAGTTTCCCCATCTAACAGCCCTGCCCTGCCTCACAGCGGTGTTGTAGGGAAAACTGAGGTGCTCAGTTACTACAGTAACAGGGGACAGATAAATACCTTCGACAGGGAGGTTTAAGCCCCAGAACCCAGTGGAGGAAGATAAAGGCAAGCGGGCCTCTCGCCATGTTCCCTTTCCAACTCCTTCTCCGGCCATGACACCCACTGGAATAACCATATTCTCCTAGCAGTGCCCTGCGGACCAAGGCAGTAAGGCCATTATTGCACAGACAGCCCCAGTGAGGATCTCAGCCACCTCGTGCCAGGCTCAGGATACACAATGTAAAGAGGGTCTCTGGCCCAAAAGTGCTTCTAAGCAAAAATCCCCTTCCCACCGTGCTGCTAAGGGTGGCAGAATTGGGCCCCAGACGAAGGGCATATGGAAATATCTAGCCACAAAGGAAGACAGACGTTTGGCCAATGGAGATCGTGTTAACTGTGGAGCTGAGCTCCCTTGGGAATGCCCAGACAGAGGCTTGTTACTGGGTCTCCGTACGATCAATAAGGCTCTGGCATCACGGGAACCGGAGAGAAAGCGACACAGGGTCACCGGCGAGTCGGAGGCTCGCCAACGTTGGTGAGTGGTATCGTCAAATGCTTGGCCACACTTTGGTTCATTAGGAAATATGCGCAAGAGCCCAAATAACCAGCGTCCGTCAGGTTTATTGATACGGTCCAGGAAAAAGGTTCTATAGGATACCCATCTCCGAGGAGCCATCCCGGGAAGATATGCTACGTTCACCCCATGCAGAAGGTGGGCTCCTAAAGTTACTCCTCTACAACTATCTTTAATTTACGCCCTGCTTGTTTACCAGGAAAAGGTACCAGATATGGCATTTGAAACTAGATCCAACCAATTAGCTTCTGTATTGTTTTTCTGATCCCATGAGGTACCGTTCCCTTTGTTCTGTACCCACCATTCGTTCCATCTCATAATGCATCCAGCACCTTTATCTTTGATCTGGGTAGATGCCTCGCAAGTACTAAGGGCCATCTATAAAACCAGGGAGAGGAGGTTGGCCGATGGAGGTTCCTGTGACTGTGGGGCTTGTTTCCGATCCTCTGTCCGTTCACGTATCCGGGCAGAGTTCCTCTGGGCGGCGTCCACTGGCTCCCTTGACGCCTTTGAGGAGCAGTGGGCGCTGTCTGGGGTTCTCTGCTCGGTGTCCCCGTCAGGTTCCACTTCTTTTGTCCCTTTGACCGCACTCCTGTCCCTGTTTTTACATTAGTTGCCCCCCATAATTATTTGAGTTCCAGGCCCTGTGGATCCTCCCCTTAGGCTGGGGGGGATCCTTTAGCAGTGGGCGGGCTTACACCCACCCACTTCCTGGACCCCAATAGGTACAGCGTGAAATAGTGGACAGCTTTGCAGAAATGGGTTTCCCTACCTGTGGAGGGGTGATAGCATGTATATTCCAATTTTGGCACCAGACCACCTTGCGATGGAGTATATCAATAGGAAGTACTAAGGGGCATGAGGACACCTCCAGGGATAAACAGGCTTGGGAGGGTAACTACCTTTCGGTGGCTATAAGGAACCAAATATATGTTCTGATCCTGACAGTTTTCCAATCTACTTAAGCCAAAGCTTATGTCAGCTAATGCAAAGTGTTATGGGATACTTCGCATAAGTGAACAGGTTTTACAACAAAGGTACAGGCTTTATAGAACTATATAGCCATATAACTGCTATATTAATACTTAATGTGTGTACTTAATACCTATATATGCTAGCCAGCGGACGTTAGTCAACACCAGATGCAAAGCAGATGCTGTTGATCTTAGGCCTTGAAAATGCAAAAAGCCGCTCCCCTCCGTTCCCACGGGGATGGTGGCCAGTGGCGAAAACGGCACCAGTCATGAGGGGGCAACGGGGAGCGGCACATTCACATCCGCTGAGACTTGAGGAATTGGTGGGTTTGTTTCCCTTCTTTTCCCTCCGCCTTTGTGCAAAACAAAAACCCCACAAGCAAACACCGTGCCCAGGGTGACTCGGTCAATGACACAGGGCAGCCGACCCAACACACCGTCCGTGAACTGTACCAGCTGACCCAACGCACTGCGGCCACGCCCGAGCCAACGCAGAGCTGTCTGATGGTGTCTAGGGTAGGTAAAGGGGGGGTTCTTTTTATTATTTGTCATGTATATTGCGGTAACACCCAGGAGCCCCAGCCATGGACCTGGACCCCTGGTGCTCAGTGCTGTACAGACACTCAACTAACATGTGTTTCTAACCTGGACCTAAGCACCATCTCTTCCATAGTGTAGACGCAGATTATCTATCGCCTTTCACCTCCTTTTCACAGGTTAAGGTCAACAATGGGGGAGAGGGGGATGAGCAGCCATGGTACTAACCCCAGTCCGACCGTGGCCTCTTTTCCCACCATAGTGTTGTGGGGAAAGGGGAGGAGAGCTCCAAACCCCTCCATCGCGACGTGCCGTGGTCTGGCTCTGGCAATCAGCCAGGAGTTAGCGATGCTGCGGCTACAGCAGGAGGCATTTCGGGGGTGAGCTGGGCAGGGATGAGGAGAGGGAGGGAGCTGGCAGTTGAAAGCTCGCCAGCTGAGCCCCTGGAACACACATACACACGGTCCCTGAGTTCCCTTTGAGTGACAGAGCTTCCTCCAGTTGGGGCTGGACTCCCAGATAGCCTGGGCTAGCAGCCATCCCTTGTTGCCTGGTGGAGAATCAGCTGTAGCAGTTTGCACCTAGCCACCTGGGCACATATAGCCACCTGGGCACTCTCCCAACTCTGGGACCAGGCCCAGGAGACCGGGGAGGGACTTGGTGTGGCTATGAGATGCCGACACTGTGTTGTGAACTGCCTGCCTCGCTGGGCTCTTACCCAGGCGCAAATCAGGAGTAACTTCGCTGAGAAGAAACAATTGTCATGGCGTGGAACGGGAGGGCGAGAGGCCAGACTCCATCCGTCCCCCGGCTTCGAAATCAGAGCCCTGGGTCTCTGCTTATGCTGGTTTTATATCAGGGTGTCTCCACAGATGTCAGCAGAGGGCCTGTCTTGATAGTTACAAGCATGGGAGAGGCGAATCGGGATCTGTCTTCACTGAGTACAGGCCTGGTCCAGCATTGTTCGGATCACTACGTGGCTGCTATCGGGGCTGCACAGTACAGGGATACACAAGCTGGTCTAGGCTTCCCCTTCTTGGGCGCTGGACACTTGGCAGGCTGGTGCGTTAGTCCCGATCATGCCCCAGCGCGCTGAGCTACGTCCGGACAACGGGATCTCCATTTCCCCGGCGTATCCCCTCCCACACGCGTCCATGACCGGAACCCCACTCCGCACCTCTGGGGGACAAAGCCGATCACAGCTCTGCCCCAGGTGCAGCGGTCAGGTCAGTAACTGGCTCTTAAGAATCACTCGGCCCTTCAGCGAGGGGAACACATCCAGCCGCCGGCTGCTCCCCAGGAGCATGGAATGTGCCAGCTCATTACTCCCAGCTGCCTCCTGCCTCTTTCGCTCCCTGCCCTGCGCCCGCCAGCAGCCTGGGCTGGTATTTCAAGGTGGCTAGCTTGTGGGAAAGGACCCACCCTCTCTGCCCGCCCAGGGCTTTGGGCAGGATCATGCCACTGCTGCAGTGCTGGAGAAGGGCTAGATTGTTTCCCAGAGGGATTTCAAAGCTGACCTTGGGCTTTCCTTCTGGGTCTGGGTCCAGGCCCATCTCTTCCCGCCCCACAGCGACTCTGGGTCATGCTGGGGGTGAGAGTATTAGGATACAAGACCTCCCCCAGCACTCAGGGCTGTGAAGTCCCGGGAGCTCTAAGCGGACAAGAGGCAAGCTGAAAATTCCCGGGCTCCTGGCTCCCAGCCCGTGCACCTTCCCTAGGCCAGAGGCCATTCTGCGAGGGGAGGCTCTGGCTTGCCAAAAGCTGCAGGACAGGGAGGCTCAGCCATGCAGCAGTTGGACCATACCGTGCCACGTGGGGAGGGGCAGCATTGGATCAGAACAAATCTGCTCAGGATTCTGGGAGCAGCCCAATAAGGGACCATGCTCAGGGGCTTAAAGGTACCCCCACGGGCAGCACGGCGCCCGGTCTGGGCTGCAGCACCGCTGTTTGTCAGAGGAGGCCCAGGGGCAAGGACTGTTTGGGCACTGGGGGAGCAGGGTTAGCGGCACAGGCCCGTAGCTCGCCCATTTGGGGAGGGGGTTCGGGGGGCACAGACTGCAGCTCTTTGAAGAGAGGGCTTGGGATACTGCCTAGCCCGGCTGCATTCCCCTCAGCAGCTCTCTCTGCGTTCTTGGCTGCCGAGCAGCCTGGGGCCGTACCCTGAACTCCTGCCAGACTAAACCTTACATAAGCATTTGGGAAGTTTGGGTTGGCCAGAACCAGAGGGGGGGCTGCTGGGAACCAGGGCTGGGAATGCTACCCACAGCCTGAAACTCGAGCTCTCGCCCTCAGCAGGCGAGCGCCCTGGGTCTGCGGCAGGCTCTGTGCTCTGGCCAGAGGGGGGCTGGGGCTCTGTGCTGGGGGCTAAGCCAGAATCTGGGGGCTGCACATTCAGCTCGGGCGCAGCTCGGAATCACAGACCGGCACCCAAAGCCCGGTGGGAAACGTGTGGCAGCATCCACGCCCTGCCAGCGCTGGCTCTGCGTTCTGCTGGAGGCTGCGGGGACAGTGCTGGCCGGGTGGAGGAAGGGTGCCCCTTGCACTGGGCAGGGCAGCAGGGGTATCCTGCCTGTGAGCTGGGGAGCTCCAGGAAACACTACAGGGGCCAGGGCTTTACTGGCACCATCTGGTCTCGAATTGGGAGCTAATGTGCAATGGACTCCAGCAGCACCTACCCTGGCACCAGGGAGCCACCCAGAGCCCTGTGGCTTCTCCTGGCATCCCAGGAAACTGCTGAACTTACAGGATTCCCGAGAGGTGGAGCAGCACAACCCCCAGCCCGCATCCATGCAGCAGCTTTAGCTGCTGGGCCGTCCCCTGTGCTCCACCAGGAGCCAGAGCATCAACCGCACAAGGAGCGAGGGAAGGCCTGTCCCACCGCTGCATTCATGCACACCTCACGTGTGCATGTGTGTGTGTGTTGGGGGAGGGGGGTGTCGGCTCCTAAACCAGGAGCTGCAAGCAGAGGGTCTTTGGCAGGGCCCAGCACCACTTTGTGGCATGTGACTAGCACGGCTGTTCCCATCTCGCCAGCCCAGGAGCGCAATGCTGGATGTCTCAGAAAGCCTGGGGGGAACCGGCGGCTTGAGAAACACGAGGCAACTGGAGGGCTCAACAAACCACAACAGCCAGAGGACTAAACACCCTGCAAAGCACAAGGCCTGAGGCAGATGCTCCATGTAGAACAGACACGCGGTACCACTGCTCCAGCCGCACCTCAGGAGAAGGGGCAACGCTGGCACTGCCACAGGCTCACGGCTCCTCCATGCACAGTCCCAGGGACTGCAGGGAGGGTGCAGACAAACATTTGCAGGGGGCCAGCCTGCTTCAGGCAGCGCTGGGGCGGACAGCGCCTCCTCCTCCTCATCACCACCCCTCCCCAAGAAACCAGCCAGCCGAGCTGGGGGAGGTTCGTGGGGACACATGGTGGCAGCAGAAATTCCCTTGCATTTCTCCAGTTGCTTTTAAAACAACCCTGCTGCATGATGCCAGGCTCTGCAGAGAGCTGGAGGGAGCTGGGCGCAGCCTCCTCCAGAACGGCGCTGCTGCTGCAGCCCACGCACCCAGCTGTGATCCGCAGCAGCTGGAACTTTCCAACGCATTGGCCACAAATCCATGTCCTGGTGAGCCCGGGCCTGTTGGTGCAGCATGGGTCCTGTGCCCACCACTGGCAGCCAGCCAGCAGCAGGGAGAGAACTCCGCTCCACGTTCTTTACAACAGAGCAGGAGAGGCTGGTCCACATGGGAGATGGCTCGCTTCTGCAAAAAGGTGATCTGCCAGGCATACCCCATCCTGCGCAGGTTACCCTGCAGCAGGCCAACACCTCCGCCCATTCAGCCCTGCCTGTCCTGCGGGGACAGGCTCTGATTTGGAGGCTGGCGGCACATGGCAGGCGGTTACAGCCGGACCATGTTCGCCTCCAGCACGCGGGAGAGACGCCTTTGCTTTCGGACATGTGCCAGGCCCATCCACGTGCAGAGGTACTTACGTGGCCCCCGTCGCCGCAGTATCCGGGCAGCCTGCTCTCCGGCGTGCCGGGCCCAGGGGACTGTTTTTATGGTTAGCGACAAAAGGGGAAATGGAATCTTTGAAGTCACATGTTTCAGGCATTCCGCACGTGGTGGCTTCGTTGGTCACTAATCTCCTAGGACCTAGAACGTCCTGGGCCTTTGGAGAAGCACCTCCCCGACTTCCTGAGAGCGGCATTTTCCTCCAACCGCCCAGAATGACAGATCCTGGGGGGATCCCAGCGTGCAAAGCTATCGTCTTCTAAAGCACACATGCCAGTCGTGCAATGAAGTCGTGACATGTGCTACCAAAGCTGTCAAATAGAAGCTAGCCAAAGGTTTCACAAGTGCAGGGGCACCAAAGATGCTCCCCGCCTGGGGCACCGTTTTCTCTAGGGCCGGCCCTGGGCAGGGCTGTCAGGCCCATGGCACAGATGGGAGCTGACCACAGGGAGGCCACCCACAGCGGACTGACCCACGGCACACAGGAGGGGAGGGGGAGCAGGGAGCAGACCGACCCATTACAGAGGGGGAGCAGGGAGTGGACTGACCCATGCCTCACTGGGGGAGAGGGAGCAGGGAGTGGACTGACTGACCCATCGCACCTATGGCTCACAGGAGGGGTGGGGGAGCACGGAGAAGACCAGCCCATCGCAGAGGGGGAGCAGGGAGTGGACTGATCCATTGCAGAGAGGGAGCAGACGGACCCATGGCTCACACGAGGGGAGGGGGAAACAGGGAGCAGACTGACCTATTACGGAGGGGGAGCAGGGAGTGGTTCAGGGAGCGGACTGGCCCATTGCACACAGAGGGGAGGGAGAAAGGTGGGAGCAGATTGACCCATTGTTCATTGAGGGGCAGGGGTGCTAGAACAATTTTTATAGCAGAGGGTGGGGTTGTGGCAGTGCTGCCCGTGGGAGCCAGCTGAGGTCACTCAATCAGGGTGAACTGCAAACAGAACGGGGCAGACAAACCCCAAAAGCTGGTGGATATTCCAATACTTAGATTTACCAAGCCTGCACAAAACAGCCTCTGTATTACCTCACTGGTTACTCAGAAGTCCAAACAAAGCAGTTCCCTTAAAGCACCCAGCCTCAGGCCTCCATCCAGACACACATGTCAAACATATGATGATTAATTCTGAAAATCTTATTTCATCATATAAAAGAACAGGTTCTCCCAATCCCAAAGAATCAGGCCCCAGACCCAGGTCCAATTATAATTTAGATCTGACCCAAAATCCACAGTTATAGCCAATTCTTATTAACTAAACTAAAATTTATTAAAAAAGAAAAGAGAGTGTTGGTTAAAAGATCAATATACAGACAGACTTGAATTCAATTCTTGAGGTTCAGATACATAGCAGAGATGAGCTTGTAGTTATCAAAAGTCCTTTTAGATATAATCCATAGGTTATAGTTCAATGTCCATATTCAGGGTGACTTCAGTAAGTGACCGGAGATCTCAATCCTTATGGCTTAAGGTTCCCCCTCTTGAAACCCAAAGCAGATCTGAGATCAAACAGGATGGTGTCCCAGGGTTTTTATACACTTTCCAGCAGCCTCTTGGCCTGAGAGAAAAAGCTTAATCTTCTGTCTTCCAACCATCCTGGCAATTAGCATAGTGCAATTTATCCATGACAACAGTTCATATACAGTTTATCACAACCTTCAAAGAGACATATAGACAATGATACTATTTCACTCAAGTGTCATCATAAAGGTTAATATTCCTTTTTTGATCTTTGAATCAAAGCTATAGCAATAGACCAGACTTGTTTGCTTATATCACAAGACCTGAGCAAACAGCTCCCCTTCCATCTCTAACAATGCAGACTTGCATTTCATAGCTCTATTCATTTACAGAGCTTCCTAACCAGTCTCTAAAGTTGGGCCCTGGGTCAGGTCAGTCCGTGAGTGAATTAACTCTTTCTGGCCCTGGCCTCTTTCAATGAGATATTATATCACACACATAACGTCACAGGGGTGCTGAGAGCCATTGAACCAAACTGTAAACCCTGGATATAATGGAAACTACATCAGGTCGGGGGTGGGGCAACCCCCCAGCACCTCCAGTTCCAGCACCTATGTGGAGGGGTGAAGGAAGGAGGGGCACCACCACCCTGAATGGCTGGGCTCTTTCTGCTCCCCCCTCCCGTCCCCTCCTGTGACAATGATGTTGGCTCCTGGGGGAGGGTGGAGAGCTCAGCCTGCTTTCTGCATGGGCTCTGATTGGCTGCCTGCCCCTCAAGGAGGCAGGGCAAGAGGGGGGCATTCCCCCAGCCATGTGTTCTGCTCAGCAGCTGGCTCCAGCTGTGGCCATGTGATCTGTGTGATCTGCGCCCCCTGGAGCCCAGCTGTGTGAGCCCTGGCTGCATGGCCAGGAGGGGTTCTCTCCCCACTGACCCAGGCTGTCGAGCAGCTGATGGGGCATTACCCACATCCCCCTGGGGCAGGGAGGGAGCCTGGGAACCAGCGACCAGCCAGCAGGCACTAGAGAGCACACCTGGGCTGCGTAGGGCCTGCCCTCAATTGCCTTTGGGAACTGCCCGCCCCGGCTCCCTACATGTAGGCCAGCACCCCCTGTCTAGGGTTACCATATTTTAATTTAAAAAAAGGAGGACACTCCACGGGGCCCTGGCCCCGCCCCAACTCCGCCCCTCCCACCCAACTCCGCCCCTTCCCCAAAGTCCCCGCCCCAACTCTGCCCTCTCCCCTGAACGCTCCGCCCCCCTGCTCCTCCCCCTCCCCTGCTTCCCGCGAATCAAATGTTCGTGGGAATCCTGAAACAGGGAGGCAGCAGGTAAGCTGGGGCTGGGGCTGGGGCTGGGGCTGGGGTGGGGCGCGGCACGGTCTGGCCCACCCGGCCGGGTGGCTCCCTCTGGCGGCCGGCCGG